CACGTACATACACACATACATACATAGATACACACGTACATACTCACATACATACGTACATACATGCTTCCATATATATATACATACATGCATACATACACGCATACATACATATATACATACATACATACATACATACATACATACATGCGTCCATGCGTACATGCACACGTACGTGTATACATGAATGCATACATACTACAAAGACAAGTTACATACACACACATATGTGCAATATATATATATATATAGATAGATATATCACATACATACATATTTTCGTATATACAGCTTATAAGGCCTTATTTTTATAGGGTCAAGAGCGTTCACACATTATGCATGTACACAAACTGTGCATGTATGTGTGTGCGTCTCTCTCTCTCTCTGTCTATATGTATATATGTGTGTGCGTGCGTAAACATACATACAATCACTAAATGCGCATGCTACATGTGTATATCTGTATACCTATAATGATGCATACTGATATACATATCTCTATATATATATATATATATGTACACATATATCTGTGGTGCCCCCCCCCCATGGATCTACCGTTCTGGCCCTTCGTACAAGCAGCTTGTGTGCTAGTGCCGTGGGTTAGGGGGCTTTACATATATCTGTAAATAGGTATAAGGATAGAGAGAGGTAGGAGGAAGAAACAACACAACATATTTCACATATCTATATATATATATATATATGAATATTTGTATATATATATATACACACACATATACTCACATTATATGCACCATATATATATATATATATATTATGGAAAATAGCGAAAGCATGCAAAGCTGAAGCGGGAGCCGGAGGGCCTGTGGGCAGGCCCAGTGGCCAACGCCGCCAGGCCAGGAACCGCCAGCGGCCATTGGAGTACATGGGGCGAAGGATAATGTAGGGGCTTTTTTAGGGTTTAGGGTTTAGGGTGTAGGGGCCTGAATGATAAGATTAAAGGGTTCCTTTAAGGGTTCCTTTAAGGATTCTATACGGGATACTATAAGGAGTTAGGTAATATAGGGGCCTTAATAATTAGAATAGGGTCTTGGGGGTTCTTTATAGTATACTTATAATAAGGAACCCCCAGAATAATGTAGGTAATTTTTGAGGCCCCTGCATTAGGTTGAACTTCGGCTTAGGTTTGTTATTCCAGTTTATAGGGTTTAGGATTTATAAGGTTTCGGGTTTAGGGCTGTTTAGGGCTTAGGATTCAGGGTCAGAAGATAAACATATTTCGCCTTTCATAGGTCTGGATTCATGAAGGTTTTGTGCGTGTTTGCGGTTATCTTGAACCCTAAACCCTAAACCCCTAAACCCTAAACCCCTAAACTCGAAACCCTAAAGAGGTTGATGGCTTCGAGTTCCTGGCCTCGTATAGGGCTTGATGCGTTTCCATAGGTTTCATAGGGGCAACAAATTGATAGAATAGAAACTTGGAGCAAACCTTACAGGAGTTATATTTGGGGTCTTGAGCTTGGAGCTGTTCGACGGGTTTTGGGATGCTCGTGCTTTAAGGTTTGGCCATGAGGGGGCTCGTAGGGTTCAGAGACCAGGGCTTCAGGGTGTAAGCATCCAGCGCTTCTGAAACTACGGGGTTTAGAGAGCTTATGCTGTGGCTTCGGCATCACAAGCTATTGCAGCAGATGGCGGAGCGCCAAACAGCTTCAGGGCTGGTGCATGGCTATGTTGCTTCTTGTAGTCCAAGGGCCTCCGGGCCTAAGGGTCCGTGCACCTAAGAGCAGTCCATTTCGGCCTTGAGTGGACTTCTATATAGCTACTTCAGTGTCAAGGTCAAGGTACCTATGAACCCATAACAACAACCCTATAAAACCCTCCACAGCACGCACAGGAACCCCATTAAAACCCACCAAACATTCAAGGGAACACTTTTAGGACCCTGCAGGAACCCCTTAAAGGTCCGGTGTGGAAGAGACGTTTCGAACTCGGGCCTTTGGTGGGTAGATGTTCTTCCCTTTCGGGCTTTGGTTTGGGGTTTAGGGTTTAGGGTTTGGGGCATCGCCAAGAGTTTTCTCTAGGATTCTGGTGAACCAGAAAATACCAGAAACAAACAATACTGTCATCGGAAGCTGGTTGATGCTGGGTGGTCGGGTGGTCGTCCTTGCATCAACGCAGAAGCCTCTGTGGGTATATGGCGCCTTAATCATAAGATGGCGTTGGGCAAACTTGTAACTATTCAAGCCTTTGGACTTTATGTTCAGACAATCTTCATAGCACAAGCAAGCCAGCATCATTCACGTGACTGTATTAGGTACATTGCATCGGCGGTTAGTAAATCAATCCAACTGATCTCGGTGCGGGCGCGAACCCGCCCATACTGAGCTGCCTTCTCTTGGCATAAACTCTAGGGCTCCAGTTACGTAAAGAATGGGTTACTTGCTACATACTACCTGACAAGTATCCTACGACCCTAAACCCGTTCATAACTGGAGCCCTAGGGAGTTATAGAAGTCCCAACCAAAGCACGGGACACCAGAGGATCCGTCGGTGGTCAGAGTTCTCATTCGAGGGGCTTCTTCGTATCAGATACTTCCGGTTCCCGTGCTGTTTGGGAGATCCTAACAGGTACCGGCAAGTAGATTGTTGCCACCCGCCGTTTGACGTGAGTACACAATCCCATGCGTAACACTCGGTGCAGATCACCCATCTCCATGAAAGAACTCCTGGCTGCAACACGCATCGAAGGAGGGTTTAGGGTTTGGGGTTTAGGGTTTACGGTTTGGGCTTAGGGTTTAGGGTTTGGGGTTTAGGGTTTAGGGTTTACGGTTTAGGGTTTACGGTTTGGGGTTTAGGGTTTAGGGTTTTAGGCCAAAGTTCAACATCCCAAGCCCTAAACCCTGATCTTTAAACCCTAATCCTTCAAACGGTGAACACAGGAATGTATTGATTGAGTAC